AGAATAATATGATTTGATGTGTTTGCACAGCATTTATCAAGAAGAGACCCAATTCAGAGAAGAGCCTCCAGAGTACTTTTAATTCTTAATATTTTTTTTCCCTGGCATGACTGCACACTGCTGTATAGAAGCTGAACCAGCCAAAAAGAAGAGTTTTCACTCAGAGGGTGGTGACACACTGGAACAGGTTGCCAAAGGATATTATAGATGCCCCATCCCTGGAGGCATTCAAGGCCAGGCTGGATGTGGCTCTGGGCAGCCTGGTCTGGTGGTTGGTGACCCTGCACATCGAAGAGGGTTGAAACTCGATGATCATTGTGGTCCTTTTCAACCCAGGCCACTCTATGATTCTATGAAAAAAAAAAAGGAAAGATGTATGGAACAGGATGAATTTTAAGGGACAAAAAGCTACAATCCCATCCTTGGTGTCTTTCAGTTGGCTGCAACTGTTGTTGAATAGCTCAAATGTTCTTTTTGTTGTTAAATAATTCAAAAGGAATTGAAAGGACTTTGATGCTGGAATAGAGTGATGCAAACAAAGATAAAAATAAAATGACGTGTTTGTTTCAAACTGCCTTTGAAATGCAGATTTTTCTAATTAATTTATCATTGATATATGTAAAAAGATTTCTCTGCAGGTTCTTCAATTTTTATAAAATTGTGTCTAGTGGGATGTACTGAGTATTATGTTGCTCTGGGTGCTGGTCACCGCTCTATTCCAGCTGATAATTTCTCCCAAAAAGAAGAGTGACAAAGTTTCAAATATTTAGTTGCGCAGGCAAGCATACTTGTCGGTGGCAAGGGGTTAGAATTTGATGATCCTTGAGATCCCTTGCAACCAAAGCCATTTGATGATTGTATGATTCTATGATACATTATCATCTCTTTTATGTTGTGGAAAAACGAATATATATTTCCAATATATATAACCAGTGTTTTATATTTCCTAAAGTGGAGTTCCCTACAACATTATTGCTGCCATTTTATGTTCATGAAGTATCTAACACACATAAAATGCTAAATCTGCTCACTTTAGTTTGGAGACTGTTGTGCATTACATAACACCCCAGAGACTTCTATAAATAATCAGAAATTCGTAACAGTCACTTTGCTGCTGTGTGGAATTATGTTCTGTTGACAATGCATTGAAGTGGAAATCCAGCTTGTAAACAAATGCTCAGGGTTCTACCTCAACAAGAACCTGAGAAACTCCTGAGTTGTGCTGAGCAAACTTTGCCACACTTACTCAACTGAAAAAATAAATACTTTTTCATTTCTGCAGAGATTACATGTGTTTCTCTTTGCTTTTTCAGCAGATGTCTGTAATGGAAGCTAGTGTTTTGTTAGGATTTTGTCTTTTTTTTAATTCAGATGCTTTATTTGTATCTAAAGATAAGAGAAGACATTTAAAGAACGTCCAACTGATTTAGATTTTAGCTTAGCAGCTAATTCACCTTTCTTGAAGTTGTCCTATACTCTTGTCCTCAATGTACACTCATGCTTTCTCTGTTCTGGGCTTAAGTTGTTTTCTGGGTACCATGAATGCTCTCTAGTCTTCTTCATCATCACTTGATTTTCTTCCAGTCCCCCCAGTCCTTTAATTAATTATATGCCATTTTAAGAAGGAGGCCTGTTTATTGTCATTGAATTTGTTCATTGAATGAAGTCTAGCATGTGAGATGAGCTGTTTACAGAAGTGTGGCATAGCGCTCAAAGTGTTTCCTAACCCATTCCTAATGAAAAGCCCTAAAAAGAGAAGACTTTTATCACAATTTAGGAAGGTTTGTGTGCTGATCAAAGTCAGAGGGAAGGTCCCTTAAAATCTGCAAAGGCTGAAAAACATGGGGCAGAAAATTATTTTTAAGCCCCCAAGATATTTCTTGGAAATACTCTCTCATGTTCCCATTGATATTTTCCAGAAGAATCATACTTAATTTTAGTGTTTTTAACCCAGATCTTGCAGAGCCTAAGTGACGTGCTGAGGTAGCTGCTGATGTACGGCGCTGTAGGAGATTGTCTCATCTTGTAAATGGTGGTGTAAGAGTCTGCCAGTGTTCCCTGGTTGGATCATTTGTGAGAGGGAGGCTGGAAGAATCCTGGATAGTCAGGGACTCTACTGTGTGCTCCCCTTTCTTTGCAGTGGGTTTGCAGTGAAAATGAAATGATTGGGGTTTTTTATTTTTTATTTTTTTATTTCCTAGGGCTACTTATGGTGTACCATAATTTCACAGCAATGTAATCCTATAAAGCACAAGATGCAGTTGTTCATTTCAAAATGTTTTGTTTTCCATTTTACCACTGTAGATCAGGAAAATGTCCTCTGAAAACAGTGGATTTGTTCCAATTTATTCTGCGAGATGATAATTAAAGAGCCAGGAAAGCAATGAAATGCAGCAGTAATGAAATATAACAGATGACAGAAACATTTCAATCTTTCCCTGCTTACAAGAAAGATAGATGATGTAATTCTAATTGCCTATAAGCTTATGGTCTGCGTGTAAAGTTGCTCAGCTCTGGGGAGCTGCCCAGAAGTGTAATTTGACTATGACTAGCTTGAAGATACAGAGAGGGATCTGAGAAGCAGCACACTCCAAAAGAAGGAGATGAAGATCGTACAAAATCATAGCTGCAGTTCAAAGCCCCCTGGAATAGAGCTGAATCATCTCTGAATCTTCTTTGAAAGGAAAAGGCCTTTGCAAAGACTGGGAGGATGCTTCTAGGTAGAGGGCACCCAGAACCTCTCTGGACAATCTATTCCAGTGTCTCACCATCCCCACAGTAATGAATTTCTTCATCTATCTAGTCTAAATCTAACCTCTTCCATTTTAATACCATTTCCACTCGTCCTGTTGCTACCTGCCCAAAAGATACTCCCCAGCTTTCCTGTAGGCCCTTTCAGGTATAGCAAGGCGGCTATGAGGTCTCAGAGCCTTCTCTTTTCCAGGCTGAAGAGGGTAAAGTTGGAATTGAATCAGGACACTGTCCTGGTTTTAGTTGAGATAGAGTTAATTTTCTCTATAGTGGCTGGTATGATCCTATATTTTGGTTTTGGGAGAAAAATAATGCTGATAACATACTGTTTTTTGAGTTGGTGCTGTGCAGTGCTTACATAGAGTCAAGGACATTTCAGCTTCTCATACCCTTCTGCTGGGCGAGGAGCTGGCAGTACACAAGGAGGTGGAGGGGGACAGAACCAGGACTGCTGAACCACACTGACCAGAGAGACATCTCATACATATGGCATCGTGCTGAGCAGTAAAACTGGGTTTACTGGCAGAGCTGCTACTGTTTGGGTACTGGCTGGGAATCAGTCAGAAAGTAGTGAGCAATTGCACTGTGCATCACTTGCTTTGTGTATACATATATATATATTTATATATAAATTATTATTATTTTCCCTTCCTTTTCTAAAATTATTATTATTTTCCCTCCCTTTTCTGTCCTGTTCATCTGTCTCTATCTCAACCAATGAATTTTATGTTTTTCTATTTCTCTGTCGCCTTCCACTGGAGAGGAGTGAGCACATGGCAGTGTGGTGCTAAGCTGCCACTTGTGTTAAATCATAGCAGACACTTTTATGAAACGGAGCAGTTTCATAGGGAGATTATCTTTGTAAAGGCTTCTCAACATACTGTAGAAAACATCAGCCTTGTTGGCATACTGTATTCACATGGACAGAGATCACATTAAAGACTCCTAAAACTGACAGAAGGGAAGCAGGAGCACAGAGAGGTGCATTATTTTTCTTCCCATCTAGCAGCAGAAGCAAGTTCTGAGGCCCAGTGACTTGCCTTGCTTATCATAGAATTGTTTGAATTGGAAGGGACCTTTAAAAGTCATCTTGTCCAACTCCCCTGCAGTGAACAGGGCCACCTATAGCTCCATCAGGTTGCTCGGCGTCCCTCCAGTCTGACCTTGAATGTGTCCAGGGAAGGGGAATAGACCACATCTCTGGGCAGCTTGTTCTAGTTCTGGGCACCCCAGGCACTACAGGCTCATCTTGGGGACATGGTCACACTCTTTGGAGCTAACAGCCTGTTTTCACCTGAAGGTGGAAAAGGAAACTGACAGTGTACATTTATTTTGTATGCCAGTGATGTTCTAGGTATGGAAAATAGAAAAACTCTCTGTCAAATGCACTGAAAGGTAACAAGAGGTGACAAGCCAGGGACTCATCTGTATCAACTACTGGACTCAGAAGATGGCATGTATGGCCATTTAACAGCCAAATGCAAAATCTATCCAGCAGGACAATATACCACCTGATCTTTTCTGATAATACTTCTCTTTTGTTTTCTCTTCCATTCTGCAAATACAAACTGTATGGATCTTTATCAGGAAGAAATCTGTAAACTCTAACAGAATGTTACCCATCAAATACACTGCATACGCGAGAAAGCAAATGGGAAATAGAGGCACTGATAAACTTTTTCCGTGGCGTTAATTATTTTATAGGAGTTCTTCTTCGTGTCTGCTCTTACTAGACTCCTCTATAGCATGAGAACATTTGAATTAGTAGGTGTTTCCTTAAAAAGAACAGAAGCTACTTCACCTAGACTGCTTTCAGATAGTTGTAGTTAACCTTTAATTTTCTTTAATTTAATGATTTTAAAATTTGTTTCTAATTAACAGATAAAAAGCTATTCATGAATTTGCTTTTAAGGCCAGGTATGTTCAAGGAGCACAACTTAGAAGCATTATTTACACCCTTTCTGAGAAATACGTGTTATTGTGGTTGCTTTCCGATCTGATTGAGCTAAAATGGAGTCCCATGCTTGATTTGGGAATTTTTTTGTGTGAATATAGACTATTTTCTGACTTACCTTGATGAGCAGACTATGTGAATCTTATTATTTGAACAGGTGTTTAAGATGCAACTGTGTAAAAGGCTGCAGTTTATGCTTATCATTTTAACTGAAGAGTAAATTGGGAGGAATTAGATGAGAAATCCATTTATCAGGTGATCTTCGCTGTTCTAAAATCTGGTTTTATTTTTGCAGGTGATGGAAGTTAAGGGACAAATGATTCATGTGCCAGAATCCAATTCAATTTTGTTTCTGGGGTCTCCTTGTGTGGACAAGCTGGATGAACTGATGGGCCGAGGCCTCCATCTGTCGGACATACCTATCCATGATGCTACTCGTGATGTTATATTGGTTGGGGAGCAAGCGAAGGCCCAAGATGGCTTGAAAAAAAGAATGGATAAACTGAAGGCAACGCTAGAACGCACACACCAAGCCCTGGAAGAGGAGAAAAAGAAAACAGTCGATCTCCTTATTTCTATTTTCCCTGAAGAAGTGGCTCAGCAGCTGTGGCAGGGACAGCAAGTTCAGGCCAGGAAGTTTGATGATGTTACCATGCTCTTCTCGGATATTGTTGGCTTCACAGCCATCTGTGCGCAGTGCACACCCATGCAAGTCATCAGCATGCTGAATGAACTCTACACACGGTTTGACCATCAGTGTGGATTCCTGGACATCTACAAGGTAATAGCTGAAGTCCTAAGTTAGTAAAATCTAATGGAAACTAAGATGGAAAAAGTTACCAGTATCTCCCCTCCAAAAGTGTGAAAGGCAATTATTTACATCACAGGAAAAAAGAAATTTGAAATTTGTTCATTGAAATTTAATGTGCTGTCATCATGTTTACCTCATGGCAATGTATGTCCAACATTCCTTTTTTCCTATAGGGGTACACACCTCCTGTGTAATAGTCTGTTTTTCTTTAAGTGACTCTTCAGTTGTAGTGCAGTAAGGATGATGAAGACCTCAGTGATGTCCTTAGCTCCTGAAAAGCACTAGAGTATTCTCTGTTTCAGCAGAGCCTGAACGTTCTTTTGGTTTAGATTTAACCTTCCACTCAAGATTAGGAAGAAAACAGCAGCTGTCCATTCATAGTAAATGGAATGAGAGATACTAGTGTTGTGCCCCAATCCTTTACTGCCCTGCAAAAAGGAATTGTCACACTGTTAGTCCTTGTTACAGACTGCAGCACCTACATTCTCTTGAGGGGATTTGGTTTCCAGGTATTTGAGAGAAAAAAAGAAGGGAGACAGAATTTAATAAGTATAGTTAAAATACTACCTGTGTAATTATCCTGTGAAATAGAAAATATGTTTTGTGTATAGCGTACATTTTAATTTTGTGATAGGAAAAGCAGAACAAGTTTATTTTTATAACTATGAATACATCAAAGAAAAAAATCATAGTTTTAAAATTATATGTTGACTTTATTTTCCATCTGAGGCTTTCAAACTGAATCACCGGTTTTCCACTTGCATTAAATAGTTTTTGTTCATAGACTGTAGAGAGGAGGTCCTCACAGTACTGGCATTCCTTTAGTTTTTATCATCCAGTACTCTCTAACAGGCTTCCAAAAATATTAATTCTCTACTTAAATAATAATAGCTATTGTTGCTGCAAAGTTTTAATAACTACCATGGGTAGAAATGTATATTGCAAAGATATAAGTCGATATGACACTACCAAGATAAAACATCATGCTTTAAATTAGTTTTGAGCTCCTAGGCTATGGTTTACTGTTACTAATGCTCAGAAGCCAATGTCATGCTGTAGAAGACTAGAATGGAAGGTATCAACACTCATTTCTTCTTCTTTTTTTTTTTTTTTTTTTTTTTTTTTTTTTTTTTT